TATGTGAAAAGTGTGGCATGTATTTGTATTCAGCCTCCCTGAGTTGATACTTTGTAGATCCACCTTTTGCTGCAATTACAGCTGCAGCTCTTTTGGGGATGTCTCTACAAGCTTTGCACATCTAGAGTGAAATTGTTGCCCATTCTTCTATTCAAAATATCTCAAGCTCTGTCAGATTGGATGGAGAGTGTCTGGGAACAGCAATTTTCAAGTCTTGTCACAGATTTTCAATTGGATTTAGGTCTGGACTTTGAATGGGCCATTCTAATACATGAATATGCTTTGCTATAAACCATTCCATTGTAGCTCTGGCTGTATATTTAGGGTCGTTGTCCTGCTGGAAGGTGAAACCTCCCGCCCCAGTCTCAAGTCTTTTGCAGACTCAAACAGGTTTTCTTCTAAGATTGCCCTGTATTTGGCTCAATCCATCTTCCCATCAACTCTGACCAGCTTCCCTGTCAATCTGAAGAAAAGCATTCCCACAACATGATGCTGCCACCACCATGTTTCACGGTGAGGTTGGTGTGTTCAGGATGATGTGCAGTGTTAGTTTTCTGCCACACATAGCATTTTGCTTATAGGCCAAAAAGTTCAATTTTGGTCTTATCTGACCAGAGCACCTTCCACATGGCTTCTCACAATCTGCAAAAGGGACTTCTTATGGCTATCTTTCAACAATGACTTTCTTCTTGCCATTCTTCCATAAAGGCCAGATTTGTGGAGTGCATGACTAATAGTTGTCCTGTGGACAGATTCTCCCACCATGTGGATCTCTGAAGCTCCTCCAGAGTTACCATGGGCCTCTTGGCTGCTTCTCTGATTAATGCTCTCCTTTCCCAGCCTGTCAGTTTAGGTGGACAGCCATGTCTTGGTAGGTTTGCAGTTGTGCCATAATCCGTGATATGTTCAAAGCTTTGGATTTTTTTTTACAACCTAACCATGCTTTAAACTTTTACACAACTTTGTGCCTGCCCTGTCTGGTGTGTTCCTTGGCCTTCATGATGCTGTTTGTTCACTAATGTTCTCTAACAAACCTCTGAGGGCTTCACAGAACAGCTGTATTTATACTGAGATTAAATTACACATGGGTGGACTCTATTTACTAATTAGGTGACTTCTGAAGGCAATTGGTTTGACTAGATTTTAGTTAGGGATATAAGAGTAAAGGAGGCTGAATACAAATGCATGCCACACTTTTCCGGTATTTATTTGTAAAAAATTTTGAAAACCAGTTATGATTTTCTTTCCACTTTACAATTATGTGCCACTTTGTGGGGCTCATTGCTTAAAAGAGAAGTTGAGGTTTTTTTTTTTTTTAGAAATCATACTGTCCCTCATCGGCTCTAAGACTAGGAACTAAGCAATCAAAGACTGCTGATCACTCCGTTCTCTGTGAGTAACAGGTCTCTGTTATGCCCTTCCCATGCTCACTGGTTCACTGGGTGTGGAGGGGACATGAGCTGCTGGCTGGACTTGTTTTTTTTTTTTTTTTATGCTTTCAGAAAATGTACTAAAAAACATAAAACAAATGCAACCATCATATCTAAGGGCTGGTAAGCTGCACTATACTGGTAAGCTGCACTATATTCAGTTTTTGTTCTCGGGTTTAGATATCCTTTAGGGATAGGGTTACATTTAGGTTCAGATTTACAAATAGGAATATTAGACATGTGCCTAGAGCTGACTCCATCAATCTGTATATGTGTGTAGATTTACTATAAGAATGCAGTCATGTATTTCCCTTATCGCTACATAACTCAACATTTATTTAAATATTTCACAGTTTTGGCATCACTTAACAACTTAGTAACTTATAATAATAAATCTTGTGAAGTTAGCACCTCTGTCACCTAGGAAACAAAATGTTATTTGCACTTTTTCACACTCTTTTTTGATATACAGTACAGTAGTTTAGTGGTTAGCACTTCTGTCTAGCAGCACTAGGATTTTCGGTTTGAGTCCCAACTACGGCACTCCTTGCCTGGAGGTTTCATGTTCTCCCTGTGCTTGCGTGGGTTTCCTCCAACACTCCAAAGGCATTCTGGTAGGTTAAATGACCCTAGTATCCTAGTATATGTATGTATGAATATGAGATGGGGAATTTAGATTGTGATCTCCTTGATTGCAGGGACTAAATGTACAATATATACTGTACGTAAAGCACTGTGTAAATTGACAGTGCTATGAAAGTACCAGTAATAAATACATTACTATCATTAAGATTTAACCACATGCCGCCCAGCCACTGTAGAAATACGGTGGCAGGGCGGCACGGCTGGGCAAAACCACATTTTAAAATGTGTGTTTGCAAAACAGGTAGGGGGCGCGCGCGGAGGCTCTCCACCGCCCTACCTGTCCCGCCGATCAGGGGCAGCGGATGTCAGTCGCCGGGTCACAGCCAGTCGTTGCTGGCTGTGTCCCGCCGATTAGCGGCAATCACTGACAGAGAGCAGGGCTGCAGTTGCTCTGCTTTCTATCAGTTCCCTGACAGCTCCTGACATGCTGAGCCGGAGAGAAGAGTTTATCTCTCCCGATCAGCATGTCCCCCCTGCAGTACACCCCCCCGCCCCCCCTAGCAAAACATTCCCCTCACACAGTTAACCTGTCAGGAATGGACTGGCCAGCAATGGTGGGACTCACCTGCCTTTTGATCTGCAGTACCAGGGCTGGCCAGCGGGTGCTCCCAGCAATCAGAGACTCAACCTTTCAGCCAGCTAACACCTGGAACTGATGATACTGGTGTATTTAAGGGATGGCCAGACTTGCAGACTCTGCCTTGGTGTTGTGTTTGTCCTGGGCCCTGTATCTGTCCTGCATCCTGTTTCTGTCCCTTTGCTACCTGTTCTGATCCCTGGCTTGTGACCCTGACCATCCCTCTGCCTGACCCTCTGTACTACGCTGCTTGCTACCTGTTCTGATCCCTGGCTTGTGACCCTGACCATCCCTCTGCCTGACCCTCTGTACTACGCTGCTTGCTACCTGCTGAACCTGGCCTGTGACCCCCGACCATTCTCCGCTTGCTCCCCCCCGTACCTACCTGCCCAATTGATATTGACTCAGGTCGGCCTGCCTGACGACGCTTGCTTGTATGTACTGTTATCTGTGGGTGGTTGGTTGGGTTGTTTGCACTGTATTATGTTTAGTATTGCACTGCGTTTATGTTTGTATTGTTAGTGTTAATAAATTACATTGTTAATCACATATCTGAAGTCTGCGTTTCCCTGCGTCAGTCACACACCTCTGGTCATACCTGGGAGCCCTGACATTACACCAAGGCCAATCCTGACCAGAAGTGGCTGCACAGGGAAGCCATCTTGGCTTGTTGATGGGAAGGATGGATCTGGATGAGGTTGCGTATTTATATCTGCTAGTGTTTGATGACAGGGAGTATGCTTATCAAACTCTGAAGGAGTATCCCCGGGATGAACTGCTAGAATGTATACGGCTCGCTCATGTTCTAGTAGATCAGGGCACAGAGTTCTCTGAGGTGCAGCCTTTGATTGAGGTTTGTGCAGAGTTGGTTTCATCTGGTACCCCCGAATGCAGGGATGAATTTTTGCCACCATTTAGTGCAGACCAGGTAGAGTCCCTGGTGTGGTTATTAGAGGATGATGTGGGTTACTTTCTGGAGCGTTATTCCACATGTTCACCACAGATACTAAGAGATTGTATAAACGCAGTGCAGTCATTGACCAGACAGGCTTTGTGTAAGCTCAGCTTTGTTCAACCCATACTGCAGACATGGACAGACTTGTTGCACCCAGCCTCAGTCAGCTTACAAAAACCCAGTCCTGCTTCTAACTCTACTCCTGTATTCCCACCAGCTCCTCCAGTTACAGCCCAGTATACTTGGCTATCTACCCACCGCATGTCAGTACCCTGTTCCCACTCACTGCACCTATCCTGCCTTTAACCCTGTAAAAAAGCCCTCTGTAGCAACTGCTCCCTCTCCTGTTCCATCCTCCAGTTCTTCTCTGTCTCCAGCTGCTCCATTCGTTTGCAGACCTGCGTTTACTTGCAGTGCTCCAGTAGTTAAAACCAGAAAAAAGCGAAAATTCTTTCCAACCAATACCATCCTGCCAGTATCCAAACCGGTGAGCCTGCCTTCCGTGGTTCAGCCTGAAGCCTCTACTCAGCCTGAAGCCTCTACTCAGCCTGAAGCCTCTACTCGGCCTGAAGCCTCTACTTCGGCCTGAAGCCTCTCTCGGCCTGATGCCTGTACTCGGCCTGATGCCTGTACGCAGCCTGATGCCTCTCTTCAGCCTGATGCCGGTATGCAGCCTGATGCCTCTCTTCAGCCTGATGCCTGTATGCAACCTGATGCCTCTCTTCAGCCTGAAGCCTCTACTCGGCCTGATGCCTCTACTCGGCCTGAAGCCTCTACTCGGCCTGAAGCCTCTACTCGGCCTGATGCCTCTACTCGGCCTGAAGCCTCTACTCGGCCTGAAGCCTCTACTCGGCCTGAAGCCTCTACTCGGCCTGATGCCTCTACTCGGCCTGAAGCCTCTACTCGGCCTGAAGCCTCTACTCGGCCTGATGCCTCTACTCGGCCTGAAGCCTCTACTCGGCCTGAAGCCTCTACTCAGCCGGACGCCGGCATTCAGCCTGATGCCCTCTACCCAGCATGATGAACTGATCCAGCCTGACGATCCTATTAGGCCAGTTGACTCGATGCCCGCTGTTGATCCAGATGATCCGGTACCTGATCCGGTGCCCGCTGTCGTGCCAATTGACTCAGAGCCCGCTGTCGTACCTGGTGACTCGGTGCCCACTGCCTTGCCAGATGACGCGGTGCCCGCTGGCGAGCCAAATGACCTGATGCCTGGTGACCCAGTGCCCGCTGTCATACCTGGTGACCCCGATGCCTGCTGTCGAGCCAGACAATCCGGTACCTGATGACCCGGTGCCCACTGTCGTGCCTGTTGACTCGGAGCCCACTGCCTTGTCAGATGACGCGGTGCCCGCGGTCGAGCCAAATGACCTGATGCCTGGTGACCCGATGCCCGCTGTCCGGTGAGACGATCCAATGTCTGACCCAGTGCCCCGCGGTCATACCAGTTGACTCGGAGAGCCCACTGCCTTGCCAGATGACGCGGTGCCCGCTGTCGAGCCCAAATGACCTGATGCCTGGTGACCCGATGCCCGCTGTCCAGCCAGACGATCCAATGTCTGACCCTAGTGCCAGCGGTCATGCCAGTTGACTCGGAGCCCACTGTCGTGCCTGGTGACTCGGTGCCCGCTGCTCCGCCTGGGGGCCCGAGACCTGTCGCTCCGCCTGGGGGTCCAGCGCCCGCTGCTCCACCTGGGGGTCCGGCGCCCCGCCGCCCCCGCCTGGGGGCCCGAGACCTGTCGCTCGTCGCCTGAGGGCCCCGAGACCTGTCGCACCGCCTGGGGGTCCGGCGCCCGCCGCTCCCCGCCTGAGGGCCCGAGACCTGTCGCTCCACCTGGGGGTCCGGCGCCCGCCGCTCCGCCTGAGGGCCCGAGACCTGTCGCTCCACCTGGGGGTCCGGCGCCCGCCGCTCCGCCTGAGGGCCCGAGACCTGTCGCTCCACCTTGGGGTCCGGCGCCCGCCGCTCCGCCTGAAGGCCCGAGACCTGTCGCTCCACCTGGGGGTCCGGCGCCCGCCGCTCCGCCTGAGGGCCCGAGACCTGTCGCTCCACCCGGGGGTCCGGCGCCCGCCGCTCCGCCTGAGGGCCCGAGACCTGTAGTTCCGCCTGGGGGTCCGGCGCCCGCCGCTCCGCCTGGGGGCCCCGATGCCTGTCGCCCCGCCTGGGGGCCCGATGCCTGTCGCCCCACCTGGGGGCCCGATGCCTGTCGCTCCACCTGGGGGTCCGGCGCCCGCCGCTCCGCCTGAGGGCACGAGACCTGTCGCTCCACCCGGGGGTCCGGCGCCCGCCGCTCCGCCTGAGGGCCCGAGGCCTGTAGTTCCGCCTGGGGGTCCGGCGCCCGCCGCCCCGCCTGGGGGCCCGATGCCTGTCGCCCCGCCTGGGGGTCCGATACCTGTCGCCCCGCCTGGGGGTCCGATGCCTGTCGCCCCGCCTGGGGGCCCGAGGCCTGTCGCTCCATCTGGGGGTCCGGCACCCGCCGCTCCGCCTGAGGGCCCGAGACCTGTAGTTCCGCCTGAGGGCCCGAGACCTGTAGTTCCGCCCGGGGGCCCGATGCCTGTCGCCCCGCCCGGGGGCCCGATGCCTGTCGCCCCGCCCGGGGGCCCGAGGCCTGTCGCCCCGCCCGGGGGCCCGAGGCTGTCGCCCCGCCGGGGGCCCGGTGCCTGCCGCTCCGCCCGGTGGCCCGCTGCCTGCCGCTTCGCCTGGTAGCCCGATGCGCCTCTGCCCGGAGTCCTGCCCGATGTGCCTCTGCCCGGAGTCCTGCCCGATGTGCCTCTGCCCGGAGTCCAGCCCGTTGTGCCTCTGCCCGGAGTCCAGCCCGATGTGCCTCTGCCCGGAGTCCAGCCCGATGTGCCTCTGCCCGGAGTCCAGCCCGATGTGCCTCTGCCCGGAGTCCAGCCCGATGTGCCTCTGCCCGGAGTCCAGCCCGATGTGCCTCTGCCGGTGTGCCTCTGTCCGGAGTCCAGCCCGATGTGCCTCTGCCCGATGTGCCTCTGCCCGGTGTGCCTCTGCCCGGAGTCCAGCCCAGGCCCGATGTGCCTCTGCCTGGAGTCCAGCCCGATGTGCCTCTGCCCGGAGTCCAGCCCGATGTGCCTCTGCCCGGAGTCCAGCCCGATGTGCCTCTGCCCGGAGTCCAGCCCGATGTGCCTCTGCCCGGTGTACCGCTGCCCGGAGTCCTGCCCGGTGTGCCAGTCTTTGATATCCCGCCAGTTACCAGACCCGGGCGGTGGAACATTTTTCCCAGCTAGGTCTGTTTGGAGCGTCCTGAGGCCGCTCCTTGAGGGGGGGTACTGTCAGGAATGGACTGGCCAGCAATGGTGGGACTCACCTGCCTTTTGATCTGCAGTACCAGGGCTGGCCAGCGGGTGCTCCCAGCAATCAGAGACTCAACCTTTCAGCCAGCTAACACCTGAAACTGATGATACTGGTGTATTTAAGGGATGGCCAGACTTGCCGACTCTGCCTTGGTGGTGTGTTTGTCCTGGGCCCTGTATCTGTCCTGCATCCTGTTTCTGTCCCTTGCTACCTGTTCTGATCCCTGGCTTGTGACCCTGACCATCCCTCTGCCTGACCCTCTGTACTACGCTGCTTGCTACCTGTTCTGATCCCTGGCTTGTGACCCTGACCATCCCTCTGCCTGACCCTCTGTACTACGCTGCTTGCTACCTGCTGAACCTGGCCTGTGACCCCGACCATTCTCCGCTTGCTCCCCCCGTACCTACCTGCCCAATTGATATTGACTCGGCCTGCCTGACGACGCTTGCTTGTATGTACTGTTATCTGTGGGTGGTTGGTTGGGTTTGTTTGCACTGTATTATGTTTAGTATTGCACTGCGTTTATGTTTGTATTGTTAGTGTTAATAAATTACATTGTTAATCACATATCTGAAGTCTGCGTTTCCCTGCGTCAGTCACACACCTCTGGTCATACCTGGGAGCCCTGACATAACCCTTTCAGTAAATAAAACAGTTAACCCCTTCCTCCCCAGTGCCATTAGTACAGTGTTTTTTTTTTTTTGCACTGATCACTGTATTGGTGTCACTGGGGATGTCAATGACCCCAAGTCAGTTCCCCCCCAGTGTCAGAATGTCTGCTGCAGTCCCGCCATAAGTCGCTGATTGCCGCCATAAGTCACTGATCGCCGCTATAAGTCCCAGATCACCGCCATTATTAGTATAAAAAAATTTTTAAAATCCCAGTATCTTTCCCGCCATTTGTAAACGCTATAACTTTCACGTAAACCAATTAATTTACACGTATTGGGTTTTTTTTTAGCAGACATGTCGCAGAATGCATTTTGGCCGAAATTTATGACGAAATTTGATTTTTAATTTTTTTTACTGGACATGTTTTATAGCAAAAAGTCCAAAATATTGTTTTTTTTTCTCAATTGTCAGCCTTTTTTTTTTTATAGCGTAAAAAATAAAAAACGCACAGGCGATCAAATACCACCGAAAGAAAGCTCTATTTGTGTGAAAAAAGGACATAAACTTCATTTGGGTGCAGCATTGCATGACCGCGCAATTATCAGTTGAATTAGTGCAGCGCCGAGTAGCAAAAAGAGGCCTGGTCATTAAGGGGGGTAAATCCTCAGGCGGGCAAGTGGTTGAATAAAAATTATGAAACACATACCTACATTCAGACCATAAACAGTTCATGGACTATCAAATTTGGCAGATCTCTTTATGTTTGTGTGGCTACATTTAATAAGGAGTTTCACTAGTCAAATATCACAGAGTTTGTTTATCCACATGCCCTCTATAGGATTTACCCCCCTTCCTGACCAGGCTATTTTTTGTGATACGGCACTGCATTACTTTAACTGACAATTGCGCGGTCAGGAAACGCTTCACTCAAATTAAATTGACATCCTTTTATTCCCACAAATAGAGCTTTATTTTGGTGGTATTTGATCGCCTGTGCAGTTTTAATTTTTGTGCTATAAACAAAAAAAGGACTGACAATTTTGAAAACAAAAACTATAAGTTTGACTTTTTACTATTAAACATGTCCAGTAAAAAATTTTTAAAAATCACATTTTGTCATAAATTTAGGCCAAAATGTATTCTGCTACATGTCTTTGCTAAAAATAATCACAATACATGTAAATTAATTGGTTTACGTGAAAGTTTACAAATGGCGGTATATATACTGAATTTTTTTTTTTTCTTTACTAGTAATGGCTGCGATCAGCAACTTATAGCAAGACTGCAGTCCCCAGTGACACCAATACAGTGATCAGTGCTAATAAAAAGCACTGGCACTGTACTAATGGCACTGGGCAGGAAGGGGTTAACATGAGGAGCGATCAAAGGGTTAACTGTGTGCTGTTTTACTATGTGGGCTGTGTGTGTTTTCACTGTAAGCATACTGCTTTGTATGGCTCCGCTATATGGAGCCATACAAAGCAGTGTGCAGGAGCTGACAGGGGAGGGATCTCTATTGTTTACGTACAGGTCTCTCCCCGGTTGGAAATCCTCGGAGATCGCCAGGTGCCCGCAGGGAATCTATGGCAGGGACCTGGTGATTAACAGTTGAGGCCACAAATGGTGTGATTTTGCGCACCCATGCCGCCCTGTAGCAGTATTTCTGCTATAGGGTGTGCATAAGCTGTTAAAGAACTTGTAAAGGCTGTTTTTTTTTTAAATGACAAACATGTTATACTTAACTGCTCTGTGCAATTGTTTTGCACAGAGCAGCCCAAACCTCCTCTTTTGGGGTGCCCAACCAGCGGTGTTTACCCCTTCTCTTCTCCATGTGTCCTCATAGTAAGCTGCTTCCCATGGAGACAGATTTGTATGTCTATAGGCACACACAGTGTAGTTCAGCCCCGCCCCCACCCCTGCTCCCTCCTCACATGATTTGACTTACAGCAGCAGGAGCAAATGTCTCCCAGTGCTGTCATCCAAGCTTGTGAGAGCACAGGGAGGGGAGAGAAGAACTGAAGCTGGGCACAGTGCTGGATCAATATTGGACTAAGATAGGTGTTTAAGGGGGAAGTTGGTGGATGCTGTAATTACAAGGTTTTTACCTTAATGCAGAGAATGCATTAAGGTTAAAAACCTTAAGCCTTTACAACCATTTTAATTGAAAATACTTTTGTGCTACCGTGTTCATTGCCTAAGGGACTATCCTTTGGTGGGTATCATGGTCAATGTGACACCCTCTATAGAGTGAACAATTATTTCAGTTACCTGGAATTGTCTGTTTATGTTACAGAGCCATTTTTCTAGAAGGTCATCTTTTTTGCAAAAACTGACACAGTATTCAGAGATATTGATCCTCTCCAAGATCCATTGGATGTGTATGTATGAATACATATATAGTGAATACTATTGATCTAGAATTGTTCTGGATTATTTTATGGTTCCTCTTAAACACCACAAAAGGCAGCTGAGAGCATATGGCTCATTTCCATGATTGATCACTCTTTGTGCTCTTCAGTGTTTTGTCATCAATATTTTGGTAGATTTTCCAATAATTCAAAATAATGTAATGTTTCAGAACTGCTTTTAGGGCTCAGCCCTGTGTAGAAATTGTGACACCATGAACCCTTATTATTACAAGCCAAAGTGGTTTAATTAGCTTCATAGGTCATTCATTTGGTTTCATCCATAGTTCAATACAGAAGAAGCTGTATTGTAGGTCCTTCGATGAAAAACTGCAGACTTGATTCAACTTCTTGACATGTGTGCTGTAACTCATGGCAATTCAGCAGAACAAAAACTTTTTGCAGTTTAGTGCAGTCATATGAAAGGTGAATATTAATTCTTCCCATTTATCTCATATAGTGCACCTTGTAGACCCTATAGGTTGATTTACTAAAGGCAAATCACAGAAGCACAGTTTGTTCTGCACTCCTATTTTCAGCCAACAGTGGGCTAAAGTCTGCTGTTTGCTGACGTCATTCTGCCTGTCCAGGCTGGGGAAAGATCACAACTTCAAAGTCGGGTTCCACCCAGTTGTCTGGACTGGCACCTGGTACAGCTTCTCGGTAATACGATGCGAGCCTGCCACTCCCGTCCCCTCCACAGCCCAGTGAAGCAGTGAGCATGGGAAGGGTAGAGCAGAGACGGTTGACTCACAGAGAATAGAGTGATCAGTATTCTTTGATTGCTTAGTTCTTAGTCTTAGAGCTTGCGAGGGACAGTATGATTTCTAAAAAAAAACTCAACTTTACTTTTAAGCAATGAGCCCAACATCAAGTATTTCCATATAACCTGATAACCAACTGACCATCTTCATCAGTGTTTACCCGCACCCAAAGGTGAAGCAAATAAACTTGTCTTCTAGGTGGCCCCAAACCTATTGTGAGTAGACTAGTGGGTTCTGGTAGAAGGATGGTAATGTAGGAAGAGTACAAAGTGATGTTCTGTGCTTTATTACTACTAGGATTCTTGGAACTAGATCTACTGTAGTCACAAGATTTGCAAAGTATGTACAGAGGAAATAGGCCAACATGCTGCAAAATACACACAGCCTGCCATAATGGGATACAGATATATGAAGGGCAATAAAGTGGATGTACAACATCTTTCTGTCAGTGAATTACAAAGAATATAATTAACAGCACACAGTCAGACTTAAACCCTTTCTCTTTACAAGTGCTAAGACCTATGAATATTCTCTTCTTTTACATAGTGTCTATTTGCCATACAGTACTGAAATGTATCTGCAAGTAATTACCTTTATTTCATTAGTAAAACTATATAAGCAAACAGTAAAAAAAAATACTGTATACAATAGATGTTTGGCTGTTGACATGTATGTATATCACATGTCTATCAAGTGACTGAATTGAAAGAAAACTTTAAATTGCCTAAACAATCTTAAATACACAGGCATGTACAGAACACAGTTATTTCCACAATGTTAGGCAAGAACAAATCTAGAGATTCATTGTTTTAAACTATTAAAAGTTCCAAGATCCAGCAATGTAAGAACTATTGGATAGACATCATATGCATATTTCAGTTTCACACAATGTTTCCTTTGGGAATTAAAATAAATTTGAAGAATGCTGAGTACACAGTGTCCCCTGCAGTACAAAGCTCTCTGATCTTTAAAACGTGTTGTTTTGTTTTAAAGAGAAAAGGGGTTACAACCATGATTATTTATTTTACGAAATAAATAGATATTCTATACCATGCTCTCTTCTTGCCCTCAGTGATTTATAACAGTATGGGGTCTATTTATAAAACATTCATTGGACAAATTTGACACACATTTTTCCAGGCTACAAAAGCTTTCCACATGTTTTCTCTAATATTGTGACTTCCAATGATCATCAGCTCCATTTAGTGACCAAAATGCGGCATATTTTCTGATTGGAGCATTTTAGAAAAATATACCACATTTTGATCACTCAAATGGAAGTCATAGTATTAAGGAATTTTTGAGGAAAGTTTTGACAAATTCTTGTGACATTCATCCAATGACTCTTGGATTTTCTTCACAATTAAGTAGAGGTGTAAATGCATTACCTGGCGTGACTAAGGCTCACCAAACATATTACAATCTGACTGTACATTCTCTGTATAACCAATCTAAGATCCACCAAAGCTATGTATTATCTAATCAATTTGTATCCAATTTGGTAGGTCCTTGCCCTACATACCTATTGGTAGATCTAAAGTAGATTGTACAATCAGTCTGTAGCATGTGGGGTAAGCTTCAGCACTCCTAAAGAAATTACATGACATTCTGTCTTGGATGATAGCCTAAGGCCTATGTTGCCCTGGAAGGCAGACCCTACCAGCCAAAGCCCATCAGGAAAATAGCAACCATTTGTGTTTAGGGGAGTGCTGCTAATTGCAGATGTGGTATCATGCCTGCACACTAAACTGGCCATGAACACTTTTAAATACATCAAGGGGTTGAAAAAGGTTCAAGAGGGTTGGATTTTCAATATGAAACCAAGGTCAAGGACACAGGGACATAACCTCAAACTAACAGGAGGAAAGTTCAAAACTAATCTTAGAAAGTATTATTTTACTGAAAGGGTAGTTGATGCTTGGAATAGATTTCCAGCAGAGGTAGTAAGTCAGTCAACAGTACATGGCTTCAAACATACTTGGGACAAACATAGATGTAAACTTAGACAAAAAAAAACTAACATTTAATAAAAAACAAGCCAAAAAAAACACAAAAACATATATGAATTAAAAAAAGGGGCGGGGGAGGCATACTCGATGGACCACTTGGTCATTTTTTCTGCTATTCTTGCTGCTCCCTCCAACATTTCTATTGATGCATTATGATGATGGTCAGCCTTTCTTGCCAAAGGGATTGTACAAAAGATTGGAAAGGGCAGGTTTTGGCACATTATACCTGCAGTTGTTTTTCGTCAGTTTATTGGACAAACATAAATGTGCATGTTGCTGAAAACGAGATATATGATTCTTTGTATTTTCTTTTTCAGGTCTTGTTTGCTGCATGAATTATTCTTTAATTGCTGTGAGAGATCAAAGTTTGGAGATGCAATCTCCTAGAATTCCTGGCAGAAAACGAGGGAGGCCCCCACTCCACTCCAATCCTCTGAAAATGACAGTCCATAATATCTATTCTGGATCAGCTGGATCCATCCCACCTGTAAAAATTCCAAAGAAGAGAGGACGGAAACCCGGTTTTAAGGTACTATCCATCTCTAAAAAGTCATGTAATTTCTTATAGTGATTAGTTGAGATATCTGGAAAGGAATAAAAGCTGAAGCAGCTGTTGTGTAGTGACCAAGCAGTTATACCTCTTAGATTGACCAGTATTCAGAGTTTATGTGTAATGCAATTTGGGCAAGCCACAGATTCAGTGTAATGTCCAGAAACATTGTAAATTAGCCAACAAAAAAAAGGCTCACTGATTAGTGAGTTTTCATTATGCAAGATAAAAATCTGTATGGGGTTTGCACTAAAAACAGTACTGTGACTGCAAACAGTAGCCTTGCTTAGCTGGTGATACAAGGACATCACTGTTATGAGGGAGGCAAGCAGAACTTCTAACAAGGCAGACAAGGGGTTATTTACTAAAACTGGAGAGTGCAAAATCTGGTTCATCTCTGCATAGAAACCAATCAGCTTCCAGGTTTTTTTTGCCAAAGCTTAATTGAACAAACTGAAGTTAGAAGCTGATTGGCTACCATGCACAGCTGCACCACATTTTGAGTGCTCCAGTTTTAGTAAATCCCCCCATATTGTCCTTGCAATAGATACCAGAGAGTAAAACAGACTTTGTGTTTCCCTATAGAAGAAATATTTTAATACGTGCAGTGGAACTAACCAATCTCATAAATTAAATTAGTAATGTTTTTTTACATATGTTCTTTATGTATTATGATCAAAAGTAAAACAAATTTATTTTTTAGCCAATTAAATATTGTATATTTTTATTTTGTGTTCTCCTTTGAGCATTCAATTGGGGATTGTGGCTCCTTCTTCCATGTCCCTTTGCTGTTTTGTGAAGTTCTGTTAGTGAAGCTTCATTTTTGTGGATGAGTGACTTATCCCTTTGACTTGTCCTTTGTTGGATTTCTCTGTGTACGGTTTAAGTCAGAAAGAAAAGTGAGACAAATGGCAGGCAGCTAGTGCTGCTCCAGCTCTTGTTCTAACCCCCAGTATTATGGAAATCCTTTGTCATACAGTATATGAAATGATGATGTGTAAAACAGATTAAAAATGCATGTAACACAGATTAACAATTTATGAATTAAAAAAAAAAATCCAAACCATTGTACAGTAGTTCCCCTTTAAGCCTTCAGTGATGGCTTTATTTAACCATCCTTTTAGGGATAACAAGTAGTCAGTGGTTTCATTCTTCTCTTCCATGTACTTTGCAATAATAAGTATAGAGTGATAGTGTCACCTCTTTTTTGTCTTCATCAAACATATGTATGATGAGAGTTGTGAACAAGAGGGGACATGATGATTTAATGCATTTGTTCACTGGTCCTGATCGTTAGAGAAGGGGCGCTGGCAGCACCTGAGCTGGGAATGGAAAACCTCTGATGACATGATCATTGATTCCTCTGCTATTCCGCAGTGATTGATTATATCTGTTGGTAAGGCAATCCAATACTAGGTCAATACTGCATGTGATGTAGCAACGTTAGAGAGCTAAGGAGACCTAAATCATATCATCTGGCATTAATTATACCTAACCGTGTTCATAAAAAAGACAAGCACACATGCACACTATTCTTTTAATTTAGAAACACTCAACCTATATTTTACTGTAGATCCATGTTTGGAAATCTAATTTCTACATAGATACTCCATGGGTAACATAGTAGATGATTCAAATTGGGACAAACGTGTATACTAAACTCTGTACAGGTGGCATGATTATATGAACAATCATATTCTGCAATAAATCACATATTTATGCTCTATTTACATTTTTTTCCAACACTGCAAACAAAAGACAGAAGTACATTAAACAGCATGTGAGAAACTAGCTAATGTAGTTTAAATTATGCAGTGACAATCTCAAAACAGTGGCATAGATCAAAAAAACCACAAGCATATTTGTAGAATAGGAAGCATGAAAGTTGGTCCTTAATAGGGATGCTATAAAATAGCCTAATTCTCTTTTATGTTTATGCAAAGTTATTAACCAGTGACTGCAAGTACTATTATTAACTGGCTGGGGGACAATTCTTGGTGAGGTATAAACCCTACAGAACAGTAAATGTATTTTTTAAATCTCTCATGAAATGGATAAAAATGTGAAAGCGATGCCTGAGAAATTGGAATTTAAGTAAATGATTCTCCGTTATGATTCAAGTGATTATTGGACAAATAATAACTTATTAGAGGTCATTGTGGCCTGCTATTCATGGTATTAAGCACTAGATTGCACTGGAAGTTAGGTATCTATGATAATGCATGCTTTTACTAGGGGAGCAATCTAGTCTACAGGAACAGAGAACCAACCCCGTTTTTCCATTAAGAGAAAATTATGAAGATTTACCAAGATGTTAAATACAAAAATATTGTATTTTGTTAACTATGCAATTAAAACATGTAATGGTATTATTTAGTGATCAATTATTTTTATGTCTCGTCTTTTTGTACATTTCTCCAGATTTATATGTCAACCAAGCTTTCCAGCAAAATTCATAGTGACAGTGGTTGGGGCAAATTCAGCGCTTGAGCAGTTGGATTATATATATGTGTGTGTATATATATATATATATATATATATATATATATATATATATATATAAAATTATTATTATTTTTTCATTATTTATATATATATATTTTTTTTTTATTTTATTTATTTATTTTTTCTATTTTATCCTTGACACACTATATCCCTATATACATTTTTTTCAACTACTCAAGCAGCTCTGGCTATAGTTTGCACCAACTCCTGTCACATTTGATGGACAGCTTGATCTGTATAGAAATGTGGCAACACTGACTAAATTGACAGCGCCAGGAATCAAAACCAGCTATAACACAGCCAGACCAGAGGTGCTTGAGCAGCTAAAGCCACAGTTTAAAAAATATATGTATTTGAACTTCTTAAATAAAAAGATGACTGTTATAAGCACACTTGTAGTGTTTTAGTTTATTGCATAAAAACAGAAAATAATTCATAGTTTAAGTGATTTTTAAGCAATCAATATTAGATATGTAGTATGTAAAGATAAAATATAATCAGCACAGGAAGTGCACTGTTTTCAAAAAGTTGGCTGACACATAGGGATTGATTTACTAAAACTGGAGAGTGCAAAATGTGGTGCAGCTTTTCATAGAAACCAGTTAGCTTCCAGTTTTTTTGTCAAACTTAATTGAACAAGCTTACATTAGAAGCTGATTGGCTACCATGCACAGCTGCACCAGAATTTTCACTTTCCAGTTTTAGTAAATCAACCCCCATAGACTTGATCTGAGGGGAATAGTAAAGCACAACCTTTGAGAACCACTGCCAAACAAAATGCAGATACTTTTTAAGTAGCAAATTTAGCAAATGAAACATACATGTTACAAATAAGTTTTTTTTAACAATATAGAGGCTACTAATATTGTTTTTCTGCTGAAAATGCTAGTTTCCTGGCTGACTCTTGCTGCAGTATTTTAAATCACTGACATAAGACAAGCATGCAGGTAAAGAGTCACAGTGAAGTTAGATTTCCTGTTTACTTGTTCCAAGTAAGTGAAAAAGAAAGTATTGAAGCCACTGGATCTGCATGACAGTTTGGGAAAATGCATTTTCAAAAGGAGAGATTAGCAGTAGTAAACATCCTACTCCCTTTCTACAGAGTTCCTTTAAAATATTAAGTTTACCAGTTATAATGTTGGTAAGCATATGTACATCAAGATAATCTCTTTTAAGTGTTTTTCCAACAAACAATAAATAAATAAATTGAAAGTCTTTTTTGCATCCAACTCACTTTATTGATTCTGGAGCTTGGTTCTAACAAGTGACAAATGTCCTAATTTGTATATAAATTATATTTAGACTCCAAATAGTCAAGTTTGTGATTAAGTTGAGTTATTGGGAAAAGTGCTCCCAACATTGTTACACACTGTGAACAGAGTGAAAACATTCTTTCTTTAATATGAATGCAGTCAAGCTCTGAATATAGTAAATGGCCAATTTGACATTGCCCTAAAGCTAACACACAGGCCCCTTTGTTTCTATTTCCATTTTATTTCCAAAGTTGTATCCATCAATTCCTGAACTCTACTGCGCAGGGATTTTTTTTAGTGTGCTCACTTGATTAATTTTCCAAATTGTTTCTGCTTTTTACAACACCCACTTTGACAATTCTTTCTGCTATCCATTTCTAAATGTCACAGATTATTCAAACTGTTTATTTGAACTCATCAGGATTAGGCAATCCATGAAGCTCTCAATGGCTCTATCGCCATGGTTACAAAATTTAATTTGTAAAACCTACGCTGGCTGTCTAAAGTCTGAATCCCATTAATATTTTTTTTCTAGCATTCTATGTGATGTAATTCCTGTGATTTCTCTTTTTTAATCACACAAATTTGATCTAAGTAGCTACACTACAAAGCATTGTGCAGTAGAGGATATCAATTGCTTGCTTTCCTTTGTGCCAGCTACCATGAGGCATAAGATGTGGATAAAAACAGGATAAGAGATAAACTAACGTAAAGAAAAATTATATCAGTGAATCGATTTTCCAGATTTTTAGTCTTCATGTCACAACTACTTTAGATAAACTGGGTCCAAAATGAAGATAATTTGGGAAAGGGGGGGGGGGGGTATGGCTCTGGAGATCCAGTTCTTTTAAGGAGACTTTTATGTTATGTAATATGAAAATGCATGTACTGATTTTTGCATGTGTGTGTGTGAATATAAAATATATATATATACATATAGTACACCTCACATTTTTGTAAATATTTTATGATATATTTTCATGTGACAACACTGAAGAAATTGCACTTTGCTACAATGTAAAGCAGTGAAAGCAGTGAGTGTACAGCTTGTATAACAGTGTAAATTTGCTGTCCCCTCAAAATAACTCAACACACAGCCATTAATGTCTAAACCACTGGTAACAAAAGTGAGTACACCCCTAAGTGAAAATGTCCAAACTGGGCTCAAAGTGTCAATATTGTGTGTTGCCACCATTATTTTCCAGCACTGCCTTAACCCTC